GTAGACCACCTGGCCATTGTGGCCTCTGTTTGTGGGATCCTTGGATTTTTCCCATTGACCTATACATTAACCCTGCTGGGGTTCAGGCTAGATTATAAAACCCACTTCTAATCGGCCCTGACACTGGGAGATTTAAGTATTAACTACACACACTTCCAAGCTTTGGTGCATTATTCCAGTCAACAGTCATTTGAAATTCCCTATATTTTAGATAATCTACCAGACTAGTGATAATACCAAGACTTAATTGTTATCAGTACCAAACAGTGACACAGGCGGTATTAATATCCTCTTAATTGTAGTATGTGTCAGAGGTCATGGTACTTCTGAACTATATCCCTTTAAGTATCTTATAGAGGATGGGTTCAATTTAGGAAGAAAACATGTTACATCACACCTTACCCAATCAACTTTGAAGAATTAGGGATGAACCAAGAAGACTTGAGAGGGGTCAATGTGTGTGTTTAAAATGTGGGCAGAACTTTCAATTTTTCATATTAACTCATTCATTATTTGACATTTTTCAACCAATTTTTCTGCTAATTTTGATGTCTTAAGTTCTGTTTGCAATTTCCTCATTTTCGTGCACACATCCTCCCCACTATTCATTATTCACTTATCTTTATTTATTGACATTTACCAAAATGGTGGAAGGATTTACATAACAGGTACCTATCACCATCTCAAGATGTCAACCCAGAGACTACAGTTCAAACCACTCACGCCATGATCAACTGTTCCTCTTTCTGATAAGTGTGGTGGGTTCTTTAACATGTTTGAGGTGTGCCTCTAAGTGGATGTCCCTGACTGGAGCTAGGTATTTATTTTCCCCAGAGTCTAGGGAAGAAATTGGTTTTGGTTTGGTTCTCCTAGTCCATTCCTTATGAGCTCCAACCCTCCCTGCTTACATGTAACAAACCTCTTACTTACTACATTGAATGATGGCAATTCATTAGGACAAGGGTTCTCCCTCTCTCCAACTTTTAATTTTGCCCGCTTCCTCCCCTCCATTTTTCAGCAGGGTGGGATCAGGTGGTGAAATCCTGTCCTAGACTTAATTTAACTGCCACTATGTACAGACCTTACCATTGTGCCAGCTTTTCTTCCTTGGACAAAAATTAAGTGCTTGATGAATGAGTGCAGCGGAAGACCTCAAGACAAATTAAGAAGACTTCCTAAATCTTGCTTTTAATCCAGTGCGATAAGTTTCTTCTTTGGGCCCTGGTTCCAAACCAGCATTACAGAGCTACATTCTATCGTAAATACTTCCTATCCAATAATCCTACATCCTGATAGGACATGCTATTCTTTATTTGATTGATAAGTGATATTTTGCCCTGTTAGTTGGGAATGAGTATGCCTCATGAAGTACTGCATGGTATGTTCTGACTGGTCTCTCCCATACCATCATACACAATATCTGTTCAGCAGGTCCTGACAATTAAGAAATATCTCTTCACTTGACCATAGCCACCTTCATACCAGATCCTGCCAGACCTCAGACCTTGTATCTCATAAGACATCACATAATGATTGACTCCATGCCCATATGCCAGAAGGTTACCCTCATCCACTCCAACCTTTCTCTGCAATAAGACATCATTTGTAGCAGTGCAGAACTGGAGATAGCTTAGGTAATGTTGAAAAGGGTACTTTCAAGGAAGTTTAAGTCGGCTCATTTGTACATGCCATTGCACATGCCTTCGAAGAGTCAAATTTAATTTTCTTTAAACGGCGACTTCCTGGCTTCAGTGTCTTTCACAGAGCTGAAATTTGTGGACTGGAAAATTGAGTCAGTACGGAGGGGGACTTTCAAAGGTAACATTCAATATGTATTCATAGGGCTGTTAAATAATGGATTCCTGTGCCGACAAAGTTTTGCTTGAGCCTCCTGTGGCTGCTGTGATTCATGGAAGCAGCGTTTGTGTGGAGTTGTGGCTTCTAACGGTTCCTGCGGGTCATTATTAGTGAATGCTTCCTCCTGAGTAAGCCAGCTGAAGTTCACGTCCCGTGATCAGTAACTTGGCAACCGACAAAGAAACAACAAGCTCGGAAATAAAGATTGATTTTTGTGCCGTTGATTGGAGTGGCACTCTAAGTCCACTTCTCCCCAGGTCCCCAGCTACAGAGTCCTCTTTTGATCAGTCATTACAAAGGGACAAAACAAGAAGAAAATTAGGAGTGAAAGATTGATCCAACCAGCATGTGATATGGGGGAATATTTCATCACCATATAGTTAGGGCACTCATTATAGTGAAGGGACGGGTGGAAAGGATTCAAACAACTTTGCTGCTGATCTTGCTGGATCAGTTTATGCACCAACGGAGGTAAATCCTACTTCTGTGCCTAGATTTGATGAGACCACAATCTAACAGTTTGCATGCATTCAGTCCCCTTTTCAAGGACCTACAAACTCACAACAGAACAAGAAAGCAAATCCACTTAGTCTGAACAAACTCTATGGTAAGCCACCAACTTATTTAATCAATTACCTCTGGTAGAGAAGGACCGTTGCCAGCATCTTTTCATCCACGGTTTTGTTCCATGTTCAAAGGCAAATGATAATCTTATCTGAAAAATAGGTTGCCGATGACCTTAACTCCTTAAGGGTTATCAAAAGACCCTGAGATTCACAAAGGAAGCCATCTTAACAAAGCCTAAGATGTGCAAACAATAATATCTTATTTAGATGTTGAAAGTGGTCATGGTGGGGTCAATGTCAATGAAGCTCCCTGAGAAATATCTTAATCAAATTATGGAGTCAATGTTCTTCAGATCATCATCCATGAGCTAAATTTCTTCATGAACAACATAAAAAGATGTCCACTACAGGTATGTATACTTAGTAATATGACAGCAATTGCTACTAAGCTATATCACAACATTAGAGGTAAAGTGGCTGTAGACACATGCTGCTGTTTTGTATCACCCTTTCCAATGTCCACAAGAGGCTGCGAAGGCTGTGCAACCATTGAGCAACCATTGAGTGACCAATTATTTAACTGAATGCTCAATGAATTTTATTGACAAAGAAAATTTTTTAAAAGTTTTGTGTATTTTGTTGCCTTTTCAACTACATTGCCATATTGTGCATCTTCTTCCAATTATAAAATCAAGGGTCATACAAATTCAAATTTGGTCGCAATCAACATCTAATGAAATATGTTCTCGGGAATCAAAGTATCAAGTGCCTAACTTGTTAGAATAGATATTACAGTTACTGTACCATTGTAATAAGAGAAGGAAGCTGTGCAATCCAGTAATAAGAGAAGGAAGCTGGGAGGAGTAGCTTGAATCTGTGTGCTAAATGTGAATCTAAAACTCTCACTCAATTGCTTGTTGCCTCCAAGCTACATATTTTGTAGGAGGGAGAGAATCAGGGAGCCATCAGATCTACATTTCCAGAAGCCATCTCGATGCAGAGGCTGCAGAGGAGAGCAGGTGATTGATGACATGTAAGAGTTCGTTCTAAGTGTAAGTAGAAGCCAGAGCTGCGAGAGCCATTTAGTTTGTGCAGGTAAGAAGCTGTCCCCTCCCCCCTGGGACCAGGAAGGTTTTGAGGGTATTCAAAATGGCCCAACCAGGTATTTGCGCTACCCTTACCTAACCGTGCAAGTAAGTGCTTTCCATCCCTTGAAAGGATTTGCCGTCTAACTTCAAGGCAATTCTTCTTCTTAACGGAAAACATAATAGAAACAGAATAAGATGTGACATTGCCTGGTGCCTTGGAGGAAAAGGAACAGCCTCCTACAGAACTGTATCATTATCAGAAGTCTAATTCGGCAGAAATCCCCCCAACCAGCAGTGAGAAAGGGATGGGGCAAAAGGGACAGGAGGTATTACAATTATGTGTGGCTGTGTAATGCTTAGAAAGCCTGCGAGCTAAAGGGACTTGTCAAGGTTTGGGTGCACAGACAAATTTGCCACTAGGATATCCCTGGAGGGATAAAGGAGTTAAGTTTTCCTCCACCCTCTGAAAGTGTGCGTATTTGTAAAGTGATATCCCTGGAAGACAAGGACGCAATCTAACTACTCCAACTAAGCTCACAACTCCGTTTTGCTGCTGCGCCACTTGGCAATAAAACAAGTTGCAATTGAAGTAACATGTCTTTGGGCCACTCAACTTCGTGCGAGGAGACCATTGGGCACCGAAACTTACAACAGGTGTGCAAGAAGCAAGTTCATCCCAAATCCGTCATCTCCAAATTACAGCGAAGTTTAGGACAGCCCGGGGCATCACTGAGAGGCAGTTCAAGGTAGTGGAAGGAGGTTGTAAGATAACAGGATAACAGTCCACTTCAATGGGATGAATTGATGATAATGTACTGGGGAAGTGTACTTACAACATGTGCAATCAATCAATTCCTATCATTTTGATGGCTTAAAAAGCTGGTAAATGGGAGGATTGAGACCTGGAGGCATCTCAGTTTCTTGTAACACGTATGTCACAAGAACACAAATTTACAAGTTCAAGTTTTATCTAGGAAGTTTCTCAAGACGTAACATCTTTACTTTCTTCTGGTATTTATCATTCCCAACTAGTGATTGAGCAACTAGTCGCCTCAACACTTCAACTGTCAACCAACGGACCGGGCAGCCAACCATCCAGCTATTTGTCCTACTAACTAACCAACTAAACAACTTTGCAGCTGACTAGTCAGCCAGTGAGCAGGGCAGTAAACCAGTCATCCCACCAGACAGCCAGTCAACCACACAACCAGGCAGACAGCCAGTCGTCCATTCATCCATCTGGCCATCTGTCCCGCCTACCTACCAACCAACCATGCAGCCCTCCAGAACATGATAGATAAGAGATACTTTCCTCCCAGTGTTTTATTCAGGCCTTCATCCCAGTTGTCTCCCTTGCTGTTCCTTCATTTATCATCCTAGCAGCTACCAATCTGCAGCACTGAGCAAGCCATTTAGGTTATTAAGACTATTTTCCGCATTTGTGTGCTCAAGGGGCATAGCAGGGAGTAAGAGTGAGCTAGTGTCCTACCTCTGTGCCGACGCCCCACGAGTACACGTTCCCATTTGCTGTAGAGGAGGGAGAAAAGTTCAGTTTAGTACCACATTTGGAGGATTTACCATACACATATTGCGGGGAAAAACAAAGTAGCTTTATCGGCAAATAAAGACATATTACTGCCAGAGGTTAGGACCTCTCTTAGATGGTAAATCTGTGCTTGGGCAAAGGCAGTGGCAGGGATGGATGTAGCAGTGGCACAAAGTCATCCCTGCAGGAACATTTGTCACCAGAGTCACCTCCATACACATGCCACCCACCGAATCAATCACATGATGAACAACCCTAATTCCTGGGGAACCCAATTAACAAACCTAAGTGTGAAACAGATGCATTATAAGATTTTCATCAATAATCTTGTTTTCCATGGCCGTTCTCGGATGGTTCAGGATTACGGATGGTCCTGTAATAGCGAAGGCATTTCTCTTCCCCACACTTCCTTGTGGGGGAATTAGGGAGCTACGGATGCTACGTGTCATACATTCTACTTTTCCTGTCACAAGTTCAAAACTGTGTGGCAGATCTCTGGCTGTCCCGCTGTGTCATGTCTTCTCATTAGGTTACAGTTTATTACAGCAAAGACTAGCACTGGGCTTAGAATGGCGGGACCCAGGTGCTGCTAACAATTGGATGAACCCTCTTGAAGGATGGAGTGAAGGGCTGGGAGTGGCTGGGGAAACTGAGAGGGGCACTGACTATTTAATCAGTTTGGTACACCATATAGCATGGCAAGCAAGGGTGGTCTGTGTTATATGCCATGAGACATTACATAATCATGTAACTTAGCTTGTAGTTGTAATCTGCCTTTAGACCCACGATAGATCAGTTAAGTGTGGGGAAACTGCCTCTTAGATGCCTCTGTTGGCACAACTGCCTAACTTGCCTACCTCACATCATTGCCTTGCAAATAGCATTAGTTATGAAGTTACTTTGCTGGCTAGGTTAATGTAATAGAATTTCCCAGGCATCTTTAACTTACAATGTTGACTTAGTAAAAGGTAATCATATTTAGACTTGAATTTTGCATTTATGATGAATAGAAACAGATTCTAACAGTATTTTTCTTCATGTGTGAATATGTGTGAAGACTTCGATCATAGCCTGAAGACCTGCACCAAGAAAGAGTATTTTACGTCTGCTCGCATTGGTTTTGAGAAACATAAAAGACGAACAAATCGGAAGTTATCCTGGGACTTTTATCTGCCAACATTATGAGTGATGAGTTTGCTGTTAGTCTGTATGTGTGACTGGCATAGGACAGAGCCTGGAGACAGCTGTTCTGCTGGTTATCTGTACTCCACAGCCCCCAACAACCACCCTACACCAAGGATACCTTTATCCATCAGCCTTGCCCTTTTCCACCCCAACCTCCCTTATTGATCGAGTGTCAAGAGCACGCTGATAGAACACTGCCCTTGCTGCACCCTGGCATGCTTTGTTGTGCCCCGAAAATGCAAATACGGGACAGGTTTCTGACTTCCTGAATAAAAAGTTCCCAACTTTTTTGTCCCCAGCAGAAGTGGTGGACCACTGTGGATGAATGAGAAGTTTGTACACACACCCCTTTGGAGGGTGGAAACCCGGGCAATGTGTTCCCTTCAGGAGACAATACAGGTTGACGTTGGCTAGCAAAAGGTTTCCATAGAAGCCTTCCACAGGGTCTGGTATGTGTTAACATTGAACTTTGAGACCGGCTACCTAGTGATAAGCAAGCATTGCGATGTGACGATAAAGGGAATGTGGTAGAGTGTTGGAGGAAATCATTTCCATTGACCTCCTACAATCTTTTGTTTGGTACTTGGTCTGACTTTGCTGTCAAAGAAAAGTTACCATACTTTATACCACCCATCTTACAATAAAATGCTTCAGTGAACACTTAGCCAACACATCTCCTTTACAGGAACAGAAACAGTAAAAGTTTGGAACACATGTAAACAAGGACATAATTCCAAAGGCCAAATGTCCATTTTCATGTCTTCTTCCAACAACTGGGGGAAAAAATCTTTAAAACTCCATTAACCTGTGCAAGGCAGAGAGTAGCAGCCCTAGCTCTTCAAACTAACACGGTATGCAATAATATGTTGTTGGCATAGTTGCATTTTAGACACAGAGACAGTCAGCAGAATGTCTTGAGTGTATGATCTTTTAATTCCTCCTACACCACCTGAGGTTCTGACATGGTCCCTCTACCTCACTGTTTCTAAATGACACAAACACCACAGTGAACCAAACTCAAGGTAACATGATTCCGCTGACATTTTTCACAACCTCTAAACACTTGTGCTCAGATGGTTACAGAACTACTCTTGCAATTCTAGGAATACTGTACTTGTCCTTTCCTAGTTGCAGTCAACAAACTTGGTCTTTGCTAACATTACAGCCCCTTTCCACCAGAGGCTGCAACCACAGAGTGACCAGATCACATAACAAGTTTCATATACTAAAACAATTCTTGACATTGCATGTTTTTTGTTACGTAATAAATGTTTCAAATCATACTTTTAAAACATTGTGAAACATATTCCAGTTATGAAATTAAGGGTCACACAAATTCAATTTTGTTCACACAATGGTCGCTGTCTGGTGGAAAGTGGACCTTGTAAACATCTATAATTTGCCACAGTCATGTTTAAGCTGGCTTTAGATTTACTGACATGGTGCGAAGGTGCTTCATTCTAACCTTTTTTTTCTGAACCACCTGTCAGAATGGCAGTGGCACTGCCCCTGTACCTGTGACATTCATGGGTTAGGACAGGTGAGAGTAGAGGGCTTTCCATACATGACATGTCTGTAGCAAATGGCCTGGGCATGTCATCCATGCTTTGCTAAAGTAAAGATGGTGACATACAGTCAACATGACAAGGCTACCTTTTCTGCCATGGCTCTGACATCACTTTGCCAGGAAGGGCTTGCCTTATCTCTGACCAACAGAGGAACTGAAGCATGGAATCATCAATCTCATTTTGATGTGTATGTGCCAGAATTGCAAACTTGGAGCTTTGTGAATTCTCCAGCGTCTGAAGTATACTGTCAGTTTGATTCAGTTGCTCTGAAAATTCAATTTTATGTGTGTGTGGGTGGGGGGGGGAGAATGCATGACATGTGCTTTGGAAGTGATTCGATATGATGACGTTCTGATAGAAAAATATAAGTTGTGCATTAATTTTGGTATAATTATGACGAAAATCAACAGGGACAGCAAAAGAAATCAGTCAGGGCAATATCATAAAACTGATCAACACCAACAGAATAAAAAAGTAGCTTCATGACCCACCCTTTAACTCCCATACTATTCATATTTTGTACTACACTGGGTTTCTCTGAACTATGATACCATTACATTGCTGCAGATGTTCTTAACAAAAACTTGAAAACTTTTGCAAAGTCATAATTTATCCACATGTTTACAAATGTTAGCTCTGGCACCAACAAAAATACACATAAACCTTCCATATAATAATGATTTACCTAGGCTTTTCTTGTGGACCTTATGAGTATCAAACCTATTTGATACAGTATTTCCTTTTAAAGGCCCATGTTCAGGAATAAAAGAATGACAGTAAAATAGTAGGTTATGAGCGATATTTTTTTTTTTATTTTCTTTTGCCACAACTTTCAGGCTACATTTTTGTGCTGCCCTATTCTTTGGCCGGTAGATTGCCATGATCATATATGACCTTCTCAGTTCCAATACAGACTTAGAAAATGAAAATAAAGTGATTTATCAGACGACACAAACTGCCATCAAATGTGGAAATCATGTTTCATGGCAGTGGCCTGTCCTTTGTGCAGGAGGGGACCTTGTCAACCTCTCCCATTTTCTGCCAAAAATATTGTGAAGTTAGGCCGAGCTCCTTTGTACAAGCTGAATCTGCAGAGGAAATTGAATTTGCAGCTCTGGCCTACCTCGCTGACAGTTTAAGACCAGGTATCTGTCAACTGACAGCCCACAACCAAAGCCAGTTCTCTGGACCTGTCCTCCCAGAGCCTCCAGCAACACTAGGTTGTGACATTATTGATTTTGCCTGGGTGTGATGAGCGTTTGTGGCCGTATCGTGTGACACAGCACGCACAGGTGAGGCATTACCTGCGGAGAAGGGGCTAATGTCACGGCTACATGACACAAATGTCACGGACATTTTGCGCTGATAACCAATGCCGGTTCAGACACTGCCCCCTGCTATATTGATTACGCCGGAGGAGCTACGGTATCATGTAGCAGAACAAGGTTTGCCTTCCCTACTGCCACAGGGCAAATAGCTCAGATCTTTAATCTCTCAATCTGCCGTACTCTGTTCTAACCTACTTGGTGTTTGGGGGCAAAGCAGTGGAAAGAAAAGCAACAGACTTATCTAATACTACAAGATCACAAGTTAGGCTGGGGGTATAAGTTACAATGCGTATTGTGGACAAGAGTAAGCTCACTGCTATTACCTGAATGTCAACAGTGGACCGCCTGAATATTGAGAATGTCAAGATTTCTCTGGCACCACTACTTTTGCGTAAGGGTAGTTGTGACTTAGTAGAACCACTTAATCCTTGTTATGCGTTGCTAGGCAATATGGGATGAATGGAATGGTACACAATAAAGTAACATTTTATAGAATGAATGTCACCTGTCCTTGACGCTTTTAGTATAGCTTGAAAGATTCTAGTTGGCAAGGTACCATAACAAAATTCAGATGTTATATAAGAAATAATGTCACAACTGATTTTGATAGCTAGTGAATAAAAAAATATGACATGATAATTATGAAATAATATCAAGTAGTAAGTTTTCTTGAAATTAATTTCTGATTACCTGTATCACAACAATCTAAAGAAATCAGCCAGCAATACACAATAGGACCAAAAAGACATATCTTGTATGTATATTTATTGCTATCAAGAAGTTGGCTGTGAAGGTTAGTTTACAAAAGTAATGGTGTATCACTAAAAAGTGAAAGCAATACTACAATACTAGCTGTTTCATGTGTAGCTACTACATTTAATCACAGATTACTGGTAAGAT